CTTCCCCCCCCCCACCTCCTCCCTTAAACAGTTCATTATGACCCTGGCTCCATTTCCATTCTGGGGAGCGTCAGTCCGGTTCCTATTCCACCGGCTAGTCAGAAATAACATATTACATCATGAAACACACTCACGCTTCCTTCCGTCTGGCCGAAGGACCCCTGACCAGCATTGATTACTCCAACATCGTGGAGGCTTCACTGTCAGCTTGCCTTACGTCCACCTTTCCTCTCAGGTCCACTGCCTGAACCTGCCAGATCAATCATAAAGAGCAAGAAAGGTATAGAAGCTATGGAAGATGCAATCTTGGAATTAGTCATTCCAGATTACATTGCCTGTGATGGATCTTGTCCATCTGCTGGCTGGCATCTCTGCCTTCTGCAACCCGCTTCTGAGTTGTGCCACTCTTTCCACCGTATGCGAGAGTCATACCATTCATTTTTCTCATTATTCTTTTTTCTCATTTTTTTGCATTACAGACCAGGTTGCATTACAGACCAATTGGGTACTCGTCAGACCATCTGGACGTTGCATTTGGGCACTCATCAAGACGTCCCTAGCAAGCTCTACTCTGTGCGGGGAGTAGCACCCAGGCTACTAACCCCTGGGGATGGGTGGGAGGGGGAAGGCATACCCCCTACCAAGACCAACCAGATTGGGCAAGCTGACTATCTCAGCTGGTGAACCCGCTATGTGTCGCAGGAGGCCGGGGGGGTTCGAATGGAAGACGTGAGGAATCGAACCCATGACCTCCTGAATGCCGCTTCCGTGCTCTACCAACTGAGCTAGGCCACTTGCCCCTGGGTGACACTTTATCGGGGTGCGGTGTGGAAGGGATTTTTGGGTTTCTGGGTGGCACTTAATTGGGGTATGGTGTCGAAGGAATTTCTGGCCTTCTGTTCCGTTCAAGCTCAGAGGGAAGTCCGGCATAACCATTTGACTGGTTGCTGAGGAGGTGATTAGGAGGAAGAGAGTTATGGAGGGCAAAGGGAGAGAGAGGAGAGCCTTTCAGTACCCTTTTTTTTGTTTTTTTTCATAAAGGGCTCAGTGCCCAAGGCTCATATTATGAATCATGAAAAGAGGTTGGAGACCTAGCAATTCTACCCGAAAATATAGCGGGTCCATCATTACCCTGCTTCGGCTCGAGTCCGTGCTGGAAACCAGGTCGGCCCAGCAGCCACTTTTCATGTACTGAACAAAGGGTTTTTAATAAAACATCGTTTAAATTATTTGAATTTATTTCTGAAAAAAAAACAACAACACTAAAGCTGGGGGGACCTTGACAAGCATGTGCCGATGTTAAAAACCCTCTGCGACTCTCCTCCTTTACGCTACCCCTCCCTTTGCTGCTCCATAGTGGGGAAGATGAAACACTCCCCGTCTTCCCTGTTCATCGCCAGCCTATCCCTCATCCTCTTTTCACATCGCTACTCCATAATGCAGTGATAATCGTTAATGTCAAACCCCATGTAAACATTTACCCATCCTCCACCTGGGATCCTCCACCCCACCGTTTCTGATTGTTTTCAGCGTCGGTCTTGATTGAGTATGTGTTGAGAAAGCAACAGATTGAACTTCTGTTAATGAGTTGCAAATCAGACTCTATGGTTCCCCTGGCCAGGACATCTAAGGAGCATCAGGCTGAAAAGGAGACTGCACTTCTCAAAAAAGAAGAGATACAAGGAACTGTCATGAGCTTCCACTTCAACTCCCTAGTAATCAGTTGGGTAGACTTTTTTTTTTCAAATCCACCCGCGTCAACAGATAGGAGCGATGGTAGGAGAACACACACTCCTACCTGTCATCATCATCATCATTATCAGTTCATTATCATCAGCATTTTCGTCATCATCATCTTGTCATCAGTAGTATCAGTAGCATCATCAGCAAAATCAAGTTCATGAGGGACGCTGGGCCCGGTTCCCACCATGTGCTGATCTACCAACTCAACATTGTATCTCAGGGGACTTTCATGTCTTTTACAAATCAAATTTCAATTCAGTCTGTGGGAGATAGGGAGACTACAGTGGTACGTGCTTTGGCTATGCGTTTCCCTATTTATGGACCTTAAAGAAATCAGTTCGTTGAGATCGTTCTTTCTTGAGGGTTGACAATTTGTATTTCTATTTGTCGTTGTTATTCCATGCTTGCTCGTTTGTGGGCACAACAGGTATTGTGCGCGATAGACCAGTGCCGATCCCTGGTTCAGGGGTGCAAGTGACAAATATAGGCTTTGCTCCTGACATGGCAAATATGTTGGCTTTGGCTGTCGACAAGCCTGAAGCAGCCAGCGGCATCATATTCAATTGTGTCAGTGATCGTGCTGTGACGTTCGATGGCCTGGTTCGACTTTGCGCCAAAGCAGCTGGAAAGGAGGCAAAGATAGTACACTACAATCCTGAAGCTGTGGGAGTTGAAGCCAAGAAAGCATTCCCTTTCCGAAACATGGTTTGTGCTCACAACAACTTTCTTTGCTGTCTCCTTTTGCTCTCTCTCTCTCTCTCTCTCTCTCTCTCTCTCTCTCTCTCTGTGTGTGTGTGTGTGTGTGTGTGTGTGTGTTGATCTTTTCGTTGCTTGGGAACTTGGTCTGTCTATCTGTTTGCCTCTTTTCCCTCCGGCTTTCTTTCAAACAAATTGAAGACAGTATCATAATCATCGGATGTGAAAGCGAACAGAAACCATCAGATAGTGTCGGTTGTTGTTTGTGACCAGTAGAAAGGCTATCCCTTTGCGTGTAAGGGCTCTGAATTCAAACTCTTCTGAACTACTGCGACCTCCTCCAGTATAGTATCACTTGTTGCCGCTACCATCTGCTGGTGGAGCTTCTCCTCTTCTGCCTCCTACCATTATGCTACTACTAATTCTGCTATGAATGCTCCTACCGTTGCTATTGTTTCTGTTGCTTCTACTGCTGCTTCTATTACTGTTGCTACTGCTACTGCTTCTGCTGCTCCTTCTGCTTCTACCTCTTCTACTGCTTCTACTGCTTCTACTGCTTCTACTGCTTCTACTGCTTCTACCATTTCTACCATTTCTACTGCTTCTACCGCCGCGACTGGTGCTGCTGCAACTACTACTAACTACTGCTATGTCTTCTGGTTCTTCTGCTACTGCTACTGCCACGGATACTGCTCTTCATCCATCTACTGCTGCTTCTCCTCTCCCTGCACACCTTGTTACTCATTGTACCTGCTATGACTCCTGCTCTATCCCTGCTATTACTCCTGGTATTGCTACTACTGCTATAACTCTTACAACTTCAGCTACTACAGCTTCTTCATTTGCCATGGCTACTGCAGTTACTACTCTGCAAACAATGCTACTCAGGGGTCCGTCGGCCCGACGGAGTGTGTTCTTGTTGTATATTTGACTTGCCGGTGGAATAGGAACCGGACTGATGCTCCCCAGAATGGATATGGAGCCAGGCCCATAACGACCTGTTTTTATTTGGAAAACAAAAAAGGATGCTCGGTCATTCTAGCTGTATTTGGCCCACTTTCAGTTCAGATACAGCGATAATGAAGGGGCGTCCTATTCGGGTGAAGACGGTAGCAGCGGTAGAAGTAGCAGTGGCAGGAGCAGGAGCAGGAGCAGTAGCAGGAGCAGGAGCAGGAGCAGGAGCAGTAGCAGGAGCAGTAGCAGTAGCAGTAGCAATAGCAGTAGCAGTAGCAGTAGCAGTAGTACAATCAGTAGTAGTAGCATTTGTAGAAGTAGCAGTAGCAGTACAAGTAGCACTAGCAGTAGCAGTAGTAGGCTCATAAGTAGTCGCACCCTCTTAAACCCTAAACCCTACCCCTAGTCCCTCTGGGCTAAGGGTGGGGTGACCTCGTGCCACTTTCTGCCATCCACTTCCTGTTGGCCCGCCAGGCTGAGCGTTGTAAAGTTGTGCGCGTTCCCTCTATGGTGGTCATCTTCTCGGTTCCGTAGCTCAATCCAAACCTTGCCTAGTAAGAGAAAGGAAACTATCCTTCTATCCTCGCATCTCAGAGTCCCTCTTAAACCCTAAACCCTACCCCTAGTCCCTCTGGGCTAAGGGTGGGGTGACCTCGTGCCGCTTTCTGCCATCCACTTCCGGGTGGCCTGCCAGGCTGAGAAATGTAAAGGTACGCGCGTTCCCTCTATGGTGGTCATCTTCCTGGTTCCTAAGCTCGTGCGGTCGAAGCGGGTTTGGATGTCCTTGGCTCCATCCGGATTCTGCTGCATCTTGAGTCTTAATCTTTTCCATAATGACCGAGCGTTGCTATTCGGGTGAAGACGGTAGTGCTATGCTGCCAGTGCTCTTGCCACCACTACTACCACAGCTACACTCACCACTACAGCCACTGCTATTCTCACCATGACTGCGGGCGCTGCTACTGCAACTGCTGCTTCAGTTACTTCTGTTGTTCATACCACTATTTCTGCTCCTGCTACTGCGGGTGCTCCTGCTGCTGTTGCTATTGCTTCTTTCCCCTGTGGCTGGTGTTGCCACTCCTGCTTTGGGTTCTGCTGCTGCTGCTGCTGCTGTCTTTACAGTAACTGCTTCTGCTTCGATTATTGCTGCTTCATATACCTGGTTTTTACCTGTAGCTGAACACCGGTTGCCACATAGCCCTAGCGGATTTATTAACCACATCGTCCTACGTGGTAGGCACCCCTGAATTAGTGCTGATTGGGTGGACCGTGATACTCATCGGGAACGCAACATCTGACCATGAAATTGTGTTGGATATTCTATACCGGAAAGCTTTTGTGTCGGCTTTGTTATCCTCACCAGGTTCAGTATCATCTCCCCTACCAAAAAGTCTCGGTGAGGTTAGTCGCTTCAGGAGGGTTTCGTCGTTGATTTTCCACGCACAAGGCGCTACCACGACGTGACTTTCTTCATTCCGATCGGAATACAGAGATTGGAGAAGAGCACGTTGAAGGTTGGTCACCAGAAAACTGGTGTCTTTTAGCTGGGCAGTGAGACAGGACCAGAGTCGTGACCAACACCCAGAGAATATGTCAACCAGGGCGCAGCACTTCGTGTGTCCTCGTACAATTGGCACAACGCTGCTCTTGCGACTGCTGCTGCTGCTACTCCTGCTACTGCTATTGCTACTGCTATTGCTACTGCTACTTCTACTCCCACTGCTACTGTTACTGCTTTAGCTCTAGCTGCTGCTATTGTTATTGATACTCTTCCTCAATCTGCTTCTCCTGCTCCTCATGCTCTACCTGTCTCCTGGTCCTCCTGCTTCTGTTACTTTTTGTCTACTACTGCCACTACTATTACTGCTACAGCTACCATTGCTAGTACTACTACTGCTACACTACTATTGCTGCTTTCGTGCTACAACTGCTACCGCTTTACCTACTATGGCTCCTATGACTGCTAGCACGGCTACTACGATTGCTGTGCGTGCTACAAGTCCTGCGCCTGCCTGTTACGACTCTTACGGCTGCTATGACGGCTAGTACTACCACAAGTGCTCCTCTGCTACCCCTCCTATCACTTCTCTCTGTGCTACTGCTCCTACCTCTACTGATCCGCCACTGCTGCTACTTCTGCTACTACTGCTACTGCTACTCCTACTGCTACTGCTACTGCTAATGATATTATGACTCCTATGCCCTTCCATACGAACTGTGCCTGCTGTGACTGCTGCAACGGCTACGACTGCTACGCTTGCCATTACTGCTACTACTACATCGACGATGATTCCGCCTGCCACAACTGCTAGTGCTACTACAGTGGCTCATACACCTATTACAACTGGTACAGCTGTGCTGCTACTCCTATGATGGCTCTTACACCGGCTACAACTATTAGGTCGAGTGTTACGGCTGCTGCTGCTGCTGCTGCTGCTGCTGCTACTACTACATTGACTGCTGCAACTGCTACTGATACGGCGTCTACCACCACCACCAGGGCTGGCACTGCTACAATTACCGCTACAACAACAGGCGCCCTCCACATCCTACTTCCCTCTACCACTCTGTGCCAAATATTTGTCATATATGAATAGAAAATATGCAATATAAATACTGTGCAATATAAATCAAATAATCCCTTAACTATACTATTTATCATGGCTATGCCGGACCCGGACAGCTCATGTCCTGGGACCGGACGCATGTCATCCGGACTTTCGGACACATCCGGACTTCCAGTTATGCATGGTTCCGGACGGTCCGGACCGGTAATCAGGCCCGGAAATGTCCGGACCATTCAAAATATATAACTCGATGAAACATTTTGTCACAGCCCCTCCTCGTTTGTTGTTGTTGTCCTCTTCTCCCTCCCTCCCTCTCTGCCTACGGTTTACCGTCGGCAGCTCTGTGAGACTATAGTCAAACAGAGCTGCCCAGTAAACCGTAGGGAGAGAGGGAGAAGAGGACAACAAACGAGGGGCTGTGACAAACTGTTTCGTCGGAGTTTCACCGACTCATCAGGAGGCTGGACCCTATGTATATATCTGTTTGACGAAAATATATGTATGAAAGAAAACTATGTTATATATTTGTTGTCCTATATATGTATGAAAGAAAACTATGTTATATATTTGTTGTCCTATATATGTATGAAAGAAAACTATGTTATATATTTGTTGTCCTCTTCTCCCTCTCTGCCTACGGTCTAGCGGGCAGCTCTGTTTGATGATATTTGACGATATATATCCGCCTACGGTTTTACCGGGCAGTTCTGTTTGTGACGATATGTATATATATGGGAAAAAAAAGTATGTTATGCACAATAACAATGCAAACCACTTTTGCCTCAGAGTCATGTCAGAATTCCTAACCAAACTTGAGTTAAAAGTCAAAAACTATAAAAAAGCTTTGAAAGAGACTTTTAAAAATAATGAATAATTAATAATTGAAAAAATGGGTATGTCTGATAACTTCTTATAGAGATAGACCATGTCCAAAAACGGGCCTGGAACCCCCCCAAAACAAATTTTGGGGCTTGGCTCCTCAGTGGGGAGGAGTCCTGGAGCCTTTTTTTTCCCCCTTGAAATTTGGCAGATCCGGACCTTCCGGACCGGACGTCTGGAGTGGACGGTGGTCCGGACGTCCGGATCGTAGCCATGCTATTTATTTTCAATTTCTCATTTTTTCATTTGAGTAAGTATTTGGGGTCTAAGAAAGAAGGCCAATGAATCCATAGCGATGCAGTGGCTGTTGGATCTTCACTTCCACCGTCACTTCTGCTACTACTACTACCCTCCGATTACAAGCGCAGGAAATCCCTCTAGGCCATCTAGTCCTCTGCCCCAGCTTCGCAATTCCGTCGACCTGGACAATTCCATCAAGCTGCTAGGTCCCAGAGTCTCCCATTGCACCTGGAACCTTTAATCTTTTTTTTTTTTTTTTTTTTTTTCACCTGGAACCTCTAATAGTGATAACGGTGTCGTCAATGTTTGTTACAATGAGATTCTTGGTCCTGATGATGGTAAATTGGTTTCTTGATCTATGTGCAGCACTTCTATGCCGAGCCGAGGGCTGCTACGGAGAAATTGGGATGGACACCTTCAGGTGAGCTTGGACAGATCCTTAAGGAAAGATATCAGGACTATGTCGCCAGTGGGCGAGACAAGAAGGATATATCATTCCCAATCGATGACAAGATTATTGAAGCTCTGAAGCAGCCAGCCTTAGCTGTGTAGGGTAATTGAATCCGTAGTGACAGAGATTCTACAGTGAGAGTGTGCATCACCGTTAGGGACGAGGCCAGTACAGATGAGGGTGGTGTGCGGCTGTGTTGCTTAGGCACACACTTGTGTAGTATATATGTCTGTATGACTAGGAACCGGCCATTCGTACTGTGCGTTGAGGAGGTTGTTCTCTCTTTCTTCTGCGCGTGCACGTCATATGTTGTTGTAATTTATGCCGTCATGTACCTTGCTCATTAGCGGTCAACGCCGTTGACTTGTGTAGGAATACTGGGGAGCTCAAATTATCGTGAAAAGGCGACCAAATCCGTTCGACTGAGGAATCCGATGCACAAATTCAAAAATATCGAGGAAGAGGGCTTTGTTCACCGAGTGATTTTACATGTAGTGCGCACTGCGCTTTTTTTTTTCCCTTCTTTTTTTTATTAAATTTTATAATATTTATATATAGTGCACTCTTTTAGTTGACATATACGTGACAGTATATACATAAACGGGTTCCGTTCCTGTCCTCAAAATCTTCCTCATCAATGAAATTTCAAATTTGTTACTTTTGTTTTTGAATGTGGCCTAATGGACAACAGATCAGATATTAAACTGATCGCAGCAGATTCTACACTCGATCGTTTTTTTAGTTAAACCACCAGTACTTGGCCCATACATCGGCCGCGGGCCGTTGCCGTTAACGCTACGCAAGTTCGGGCTTCGGGGTACCGGACCTCAATGGCTGGAAGCGCCAGCCCAAAAAAAATAATCCGAAACGGTACCCTGGCGCGCAGGGGGATTCCAGGCTCGGCAATGATAGCTGGGCCAAGTACTGGTGGTTTAAAAGTTAAAAGGCCTGATCATGTTTCACGCGGCTTTGAACTTTCTGACGTGTGGCCTTTGCTTCAGGCATTCTTTTTGCTGTGTGCATTCTTTCGTGTCCATTGCCTTGCAACTTGGCCTCCATGTTCTTCTTCTTCTTCTTCTTCTTCTTCTTCTTCTTCTTTCTTTGAATGATGCTTTTATATTATCATTGCCAAAGGAGGCTGGGAAACTTAAAAAAAAAAAAAAAAAAAAAAAAAAAAGGAGGCTGGGAATCCCTCCACATCTCAACCCCGTGTACTGGGGCCGTTACCCAGCTTTGGCTTGGCTGGAAACCGGGTCCAGCGTCCCCTTGAGCATAATTCTAAAAAAGGAAAACTGGACTAAGAAAGAATCAATTTCTATCTAGAAAAGAAGGGAAAGCCTAAGTGGGCTGAAAAAAAAAGCAGCAGTCCTCTGGAGTGTAATGCTGGGTAACAAACTATCCCTCCCTCACTTCCGTAGTTCCCCACTTAAACCCTAAAGGGCCTAAACCCTGTCCACCCCTGTGTCCTGGACACTACACCTCATTACACTCAGAGGTTCTGGACACAGGAGGTCGCAACTTCTATCGGAGCAAGATGGAACAGCCTACAATACCGGAAAAATACAGGCACTCCCCAGGGGTGAAACAAACCATCGGAGCTGGACTATCTATTAAGCCACAACCAGGCCAGGAGGTAGCTACTTGTAAAATGACTCGGATCCCTCTTTTCTTAAACGCGAGCTCTTATCTGCCGTCTATGCTGAGTTTATATCCGCCACTCAGTTCTGTGAACGCACTCAGTCTGTTTCTAATGAGGGAGGTCCGTTATCCGGCCACTCCCTTGTTGTTCATCCTGCAGCTTCCATACTAGTCTCGGAGGAGCCCCTTCTATGGTGCCGACTTTACCAGTTCCGAGTTCCGAGCCGGTCTTTGATGAATTTGTCTACGATTATTTGCTTTTTTGTGGGGTCTTCTTTAATGTTCTTGGTTTCCTGGTGGTGGTCCGCCTGGTACTCCGTCCGTTGGAGTTGTAATAAGTGCTCCCAGGAGGCCTCCCGGGTTAGTGTGTTTTGGCCGGCTATCGTTTGTTTGCATCGTGTCTTTTCCATACGATCGACAACGTAAAGGGGCGAAAAGTCTTCGGAAGAGGGTGAAATGCCATGCTTCTTGGAAACGTGGCTGCGCCAGGTCCGTTAGACGTGTCAGCAGGTTATCTGGCAGTGGTGTGCCGGCAATCGCAGACCAGAGCGCCCGCGTTCTGTTCCAAAGCCTTTGTGGGTTTGGGCAGTGTATTAGACAGTGCGGCGGATCCTCGAGGGTTCCAACATCGCAGACTGCTCAGCTATCGTTGAAGTCCCTTCTGTGGCCATTTCGGACCTTCTCTTTCTGAGCCATGTGTTGAATGGCAAGGCCTGATAGTAGATGAGCCATTGCATGCTTCTTATCCGGGTGTTTCTAATGGCAAGGGGGACCTGCCAGTCTATATTCTCCGTATTACCCAGGCAGCCTGGGATATGTTTCTCCCATCGGTGAGACAAGATGAGTTCTGTGTTTACTGGTCTTTGTCTGAGTTTATAGCCGAAGCTGGTCGAGTAGTCTAGAATGTTGGTTTGTTTCTGTATCCCCGTTGGCCTGGATCGTGTTTTCCAAGTCCATTCGGCTGGGTTGAACTCCAGGGGCTAGGTCCCACTTGCACGAATTTAGCGATATTGACCGTAGATAGCGAAGATCAACGGCCAGAATTTCTTAATCCAAGCAAGTGGGACCTTGCCCCAGGTCTTGTAGGGGCGTTCCTGGCCGGTACTATATTCTGTAGTCGTCATCCGCAACCACTCTAGTTTTCCTTAGGAGGGTCGGTTTGGCTGTGACTCGGGCCCGTGCTGCTTTGGAAACCCTGCTGACAATGTTTCCTCCTCCATGTTCTTCTTCTTTTTCTTCATTCCTCTTTGTGAGTTTTCCCTTCTATGTTCTAAACACCAACTACCGTCTTCACCTGAATAGAACGCCCACCCGGTCATTACAGTTGTATTTGGTGCAACATTCAGTCTGCATACAGTGATAAGGAACAGGCGTTCTATTCAGATGAAGACGGTAGTCACCAGCCCGAAGGCCACGGTTCCTTGTACCCTACCCTGGCTACCTTGATTGATCACCGACAGAGTCAAAGTTCGAAGCCTGGGAAGCTGGAAGCCCTCGCTAATGTGCAATGGAGACCGAGCGTGGACGGATGGATCTCTCACAACTATCAAGAGACGCCAGGATTGGTTGCAAGCAGCAGAATTATGCATTTCATTTGTGTCACAGAGGACTGTGATTTTTAATGGGGTTAGCAGCCGCTGTTGTTCGTTTTGGGGGTAAAAGGCCGCTCTTGTTGGTTTTCCCATAAGTTCTGCTTTCTTAAGACAGGTCACAGTTGTTGTCATGGGAGTAGCTTTTTTTCCTTAGGGAAAAAAAAGGCAAAAGAACCACATCATAATGTCGTCATTAATATTAAAAGGGCTTCGGTCAGAAAACAATCAGGTACGCGAGTAACTGGACAACGCTAAGCCTTCCGTTCGTTATGGCCAAGGGACCCCGTCGTGATTGCGGCATTGATTGCTGCCTCTCCGGGAAGGATGTACCGGCTTCCCCCCCCCTTATTTCTCTTGCCTTTATCTTCTTCCAGACATCGAGTTTCGATCAGAAAAAAATCTTCTGGAGCATGATAACTTAGAACTATCACAGCTCTGTCCTTTTGGACATCCGTTAAGATTGGAACGATACAGAGAAGATTAGCATGGCCCCTGCGCAAGGATGACACTCATAAATCGCGAAATGGTCCAAATTAAGAAAAGAAAAGAAAAAAAAAACTATCAGAGCTCTCTGATATGTAGCAAACATCAGTCTTGGCATTCACACATAAATGTTCAAACACAGAGAAAAACAGAACACATAGAAGCACACCACTCAGGAAGAAGATAAGAGTAGTAATAGTAATGATGATTAGCAGTGGTAGCGGTGAAAGTCGTGGTGGTGATGGTGGGTCGCCGTCACACATCGGGAACTATTGTTACGTTGGTTTATGCGTGGACTAATGTAGCAAACATCAGTCATGGCATTCAAGCATAAGTGGATCTTCGGAGCTGGAAGTCGAGTCCAGCGTTCCAGGACACTCTTCTGTTCTGTAAAGGCATTGTTGCTGAGCTATACAACCTTTGCTCCCCATCTAAACATAGTGATTGATCCTCTCCCTCTAGTAGAAAATAGCCTCTCCAGCCTCCCTGCTCCAGGTAGCAAGAGACGAGGTTAACAGAGCCCTAAATTTTCAGGAGTTTTTTTTTTTACGGTAGTTATAACAAACATCCCCCACCTTTTAAGCCAGACTTATCACCAGTCCATAGAGTGGACAACAAATAACCCAACAGAAGAAGGGAAAAAAAAAAAAAAAAAAAAAAAAAANCCTCTAGTAGAAAATAGCCTCTCCAGCCTCCCTGCTCCAGGTAGCAAGAGACGAGGTTAACAGAGCCCTAAATTTTCAGGAGTTTTTTTTTTTACAGTATTTATAACAAAAATCCCAAACATATTAAACCAGTCTTAGCACCAGTCCTTAGAGTGGGCAACAAAAAACCCAGCATAAGAAGGGAAAAAAAAAAAAAAAAAAAAAAAAAATGGATCAAAGGGGCCTAAGACCCCAAGGCAAAAATGTGTTTTCAACTTTCCAAGCAAAATTCGCTCTTTTCAGTTTTTGCACCGGAATGCTTCCCTGATCCCTTCCCTCCCTCGGAGTTGGGTTTGGTTGATTTGCAATGGTATGCCGTGTAATACGGTTAAATCCCAAAAGAAATATGAGTTCTGTTCATGTTCGATCTCTAGATGCCTAGCAGTATGGTGATATCTTGGAGAGAATTAAGATCTCATTTTCTGATGCTTTTTGTACTTTTCACCAGTGAGTAAAGTCAGGAGATAGGGCTGCTAGTTTGAATAGAAGTATCTGGCAGCCTAAGGTTTGGCTGAAGAGGCAGATCTCATTCTCTTGTTACTTTATTCAAAGTTATGGACCAGATTTATATGTATTAAGGGACGCTGGACCCGGTTTCCAGCAGGTGCAGCTCCCCACCAATAGAATGGAGCCAGTAGCTGGGCTGCTAGTGGTGGATGCTCTCATCACCACCGCTAGCAGTTCAGCCGTTTAAACCACCAGTACCTCCGAGCCTGTTTTTGCCGATCCTGATTTATAGTGCACGCCGAATTTTGCCGAGCCTGTGTCCTGCGGTACCTCCGAATATGTTTTCGTTTTTATTTAGTTTTTGAATACGGTAACGTTTCCACTTGTGGCCTACTCGTCCTGCGGTACGGCCCTGCGAACGGACACGTGCATGGGTGGGTCCCTGTGGTGTAGGGCATCTTTCGTGGCCGTTCTTTTTTATTTTTTTTTCCGAATTTGTGTACATTTTATTTTTGCGGGCCCGACCAGCGTGTCGCTTCGCCGACGACCGGTAGCGTGGAGTGCAGGGCGGTGGTCGTCCGCACTTTCGCCGATGGACGGACGCCGACGTTTGCCATCGCTGCCGTCACGTCCCGACCTCTGTGTGTGTGTGTGTGTGTGTGTGTGTGTGTGTGTGTGTGTGTGTGTGTGTTATCCATGGCCTGCATTGACCCAATCGACGTAGTGGATGACATCATGTCTTCCCGCCGATTGGCTGTGCAAAGTGCATGGCAGAAATCTCTCTCTCTCTCT